ACAGTGAAATTGCTCATAAGAGAGCATCATAAATTAAACTGCAGATCCTGACACACAGGAAGAGAATTTGGATTCCTTCTGGCCATTATACTTTAAATTGATGGCAAAGGAGGAGAGATGCTATCCAGGCTGGCACTGAGCAGAGGTGCGCAGTTCCCACCTCGCCTCCGCTATAATAATTAGTTTCCCCTGGAAGTTGTGTGTTGGAGATGACCTTGTAACTAAGAGTATTGGCTGCAGTTTGGGAATATTTTAATTGATTAAGATTATTTTTGGACTAGTGATCTTATTAGAAAGGCAGTTGGTTGAGTGGCCCCCTGAGTTCCTATTATCCTTGTAGACAGATGAGCATTAAAAGGTTGGGTCAGAAAGAGCAAGCCCTGTTGTCTTCTCTGAATTTTCTTGGCCCCTTCTGTTTCTACCATCCATGCCTGCATTTATGCAGAGCACTCCAGGGCCTGCGGGGCTCTCTCCCAGCAGAGGTACAAACAGCCATAAATCCTAATTAAAAGGTATGTTTTATTTTCTGGGTTTAAAAATAAAGAAGATTTAAGAATTCTCGGAATTGAGATGTGTGTGTATATTTTGGCCCATCAGGATTAATTGGATTTGCTTCAGCGGTTCTCTGTACCGTGGCTGTTCGGTAGAACGCTGTTAAGCAATTTAAACATCTTTCTCAAATGTATGAGATTCGTACAACACATGTCCTGCAATAATTTTTCTCCTGCCACTGGTGTAAATGTTGAGATTCTTCAGGACCCAGCACGGGGAACCAAGGCACATAGTCAGCTGCGCAGGGAAACCAGGCAGCCCGCCCGGCGCTGGGCATGCCATTCCCCTCCAAGCCCTGGAGGTGTTTGAGCCTCGTCTTGTCCTGTGGTGCATATTGTAAATGTGTGTCTCTGTTCACAGAGCAGACACTGGCAGCCGTGTAAAGTTTGGTGTGCTCATAAATCACGTCTGTGCCCTGGAAGAGAGCTGCAGATGAGAGTGTCAGGGTTGACCTTCCGGCAAGTGCAAGAGTGATGAGGGGAAGATTGATGCCTAGAGAGAAGAGCTGGGGATTTACAGAGCCTGCTAGGATTAAATTGCCCCTGTCTTAAGCTGGAGTGGGTTTAGCACTGTTAGACAGGGCTTTGGGGGAGAGCGGGAGAGCTGTTGCTTAACCTCATCCAGCATATAATCCTAGTGATCCTGATACGATCCCACAAACCATTCCCTGCTCCTTTAGGTGTGAACTGCCCGCAAGGTCAGCATAGGGCTGCTGCTGCAGACACAGGCAGAGCAATTCAGAGTAGGAGAACCTGTGACTTACGGAAGACTGGAGAAGGGTGACGTGCCAGGGCCCTGGAAGAGAGAGGATTTCACCTGCTAAGCATGAGCTAGGCAGGCTCAGAAGTAGAGAGCATCCATCTTCTAGCAAGAAAGAATCTGGCTGTGAAGCAGCCGTTTGGAGACACAGGGCCAGATCTTAGAAACAGGGTACCAAAACCAGGCCGGGTGGGGAAGGAATCAGTCAAAGGAAAAAAAACCCTTAGGTGCAAGCATGAGTGTGTGTGTGTGGACTTGCTGAGCATGATTGCTGCCTTGTTGTGAGCTGATTCTTAAATCAGTGGAAGTGAGAAATGGCATAGGTATTAGGGCATGTAAAAGCTGTAACATATTGGCATTTCAGGAAACCACTTAATAGTATGTCTTGCAAAATCTTAGTTGGATAAATAATTCAATTTGGTCTCGATAGTAACATTCCTGGATTGAAATCCTGCTAAAAGACTGTCAGCAAAAGCTGGTGATGAACAGAAGAGAGGCTCTTCTTGGGGGAGATGTAAAGCTGAGGCCAAGAGGATCAATATTAGGTCTGTGTGTGTTTTAACATCCTCATTAATGATCTGTAAGAGGGAGCAAGTGGTGTATAGACATTAATAAAATCTACAGATAACACTAAAGCTGGAGGTGTCTTGAACAAAACTCAGCATAGAGGTGCAGTCCTTTGGACTTCACAGGTTCAGAAAAATGGGCAACAGACAGCAGAAATAGATTACACTTGAAAATAAGCAGTGTATCCATTTGCATTAAAGTGCCCCAAACCGCGTGCCCCATCACGAAGCCCCCCTCCTGGCACAGGAGGTGGTATGAGGCACAAGTGTGTGGCCAGTTTGCTGTGAGTCTCACGGACAGCAAAACTGACTGCAGCTGCAGACAGAGCCGTGTGAGCCCCCTTCCTGGCCAGGCGTGGGTCTCTGCCTGAAACACAGGGTTTGATTCTAATCCTACCTGATTTAGAGAGACAAACTGGAAGGGGTCCAGTGCCAGCCTTCGGTAATGTGTACACCCTCGCTTAAGCCGTTAGGACAGCAACTTGCATAAATGTGTGCCAATTAAGCCTGTGACCATTCTTGCTGCAGTCAGTGCGCTTAAAGCAGCAAGCGCTTTGGTTGTTCGTGTGGGTATTATTCCGGGAGGCCTCGAGATGACAAATTTCTGAAGTATTCAGGCTTCAAAAATGAAACACTTGTGCCAATACAATGAGAGGTTAGCACCAGGAGTAAATACAGCAGGCTCTCCCACCCTTGAGGTGCGTTATTGGTGGGTCCCCAGAAATGGTTAGGATTCTAGTTTTGGTCACCTAAAATTGTCTGGGCAGAATAGTAGAAGCTGCATGGCAAGAAACAGCCCTGGCTTACAGGTATGCGATGTTCAGTTCTAAAAAGGTTTTGGTTTTCTGCTTTGAGTGCTTACAAATACCAATGTTTTAGCAAGGCCAAACAAATTCTCTAAAATCATGGGCAGCAGGTGCAGTGCATGGTGGTGACTGGCATGAAGTCTATTGTCTCTCCTACTTCTCTGTTTATGTCAGTCTGTAACTCTTTTTGCTCGTTATGCTTATCACACAGCTTTTAATAGTTACAGAATGTGCTTGAATTATGTTTGAAATTCAAATTTCACACAAATAGAGGCTTGTTCTTGAACCAGTGTTTGTGTCGGAGTAGTGGGGCGGAGGGGGCTGGTAGTATTTCATACATATTGTATGCACTCACCATATTTTTTTCCATTACAGCAGGAGTCAAAGGAAGAGACTGGATTGCAAAAGAAGAGAACAAAACAGCAGCTGGATAGAACGAAGTTTGCTGCTAAAAGGAAAATTGCACGTAGGTTTCAAGTGTGGGGCTGGGGAAGCAGACTGGTGCTGAGCCGCTTCTGCTGTTTGTGTTAGAGATTATTTCCCTGGCAGAAAGGCTGCGATGTGGCTGGGGATGCACAGCTCTCAGAGAAGACTGTTCTCAGGGGTAAATTTGCCTTTCTGAACAGGGAGACCGTCACTTGTTTGCTCCCCAGCGGAGTGTGCACTTCCAGAATAAGCGTGCGAGGGTGTCTGTACCTCACCTGGGTTTCAAAATTGGTTGAAGCCGATCTGAAAGCACTGTCAGTCACAAACTGCTTTCCCGTTCAGGCCCCTCTCCTGCTGTCTTTCCCTGAAACATCATGATGCTCTGACCTGGCAGTCGCAGCTCAGGAAAGATCTGAGTTGCAGCTGACAGTTCTCCGAAATCATCATCTTGTAGCGTGGGGGCAGCTGGAGAAACCAGAAATGTTGGGCATCATAAGGAAGGGTGTTAAGAACAAGAGATTTGTTTTACGTCATTTTGCTGTTATATAAAACGTTGGTGCACCCACATCAACAGCGCTGTGTGCAGTTCTAGTCTCTGCATCTCAAGGACACGGTGGAGTTAGGGGACATCCAGAGAAGGGCAACCCAAGCCATGAAGGGGAGGGAGCAGCTGCCTTATGAGGAGCGTCTGGAAAGCCTGGGGCTGCTCTGGTAGGAGAGGAAGGTGGGATCAAAGTTCACATCAGGAAGGCAGTGCCTTAGCTGAACACAAAGCTGTTGTTTACCAGCCAGGGTGCAGTCGGTGGAAATAGCAGGAGACAGATAGGTTTAAAGCAGGTAAAGGAAAGTAATGCTTCCCACAGTATGTAGTGAACTCCTGCAAGTTTTTGTCACAGGAGGTTACTGGTTAGTACCAGCAGCTTTAATAAGGGATTAAATGCATTCATGGACAATAGGTCTATAAACAGATGCTGAAGGGAACAGGCTGGGATGTTCCCACTCATATTCTGCAAACAGCATTTTTGACTGCTGAGGATCTATGAGCAGGAGGGACCTCTGGGCATGGCCAGGCTTGCCCTTACTCCCCTTACAGCACCACTTGTTACAGTGGCCAGGCCGGTGGACCATGGCTCTGCCCCAGTGGATCTGCTCTCCCGTTCTTGCGCTCTGTGAGGCAGCAGTCCATCTAGTATGTTAAATTCAGAATGTTTTAAAGTGGGAGAGATGTCTCCTGCAAAACCCAAAGCAATCACTAAACAAAATGGAGCACGCCAGTGCTCCGCAAGTAGCAGCAGTTGGGCTTTTCAGTCCTCAGAGGGCTTGTGTGAATTAAATTGTTTTTAATAGAGGCCTAAGGCCATAGCATGAAACAGCCTGGCTCTTTGTGGGAGTTGAAACCCACTGTGCGTGTCCTCTGTTGGAACAAGTAAGATAGCAAAGTCAGAGATGGGGGAAGAGGTCTTTTTTTTTTTTTTTTTCTTCTTCTTTTTCTTCTCTTTCTCCCAAAAGAAATGGAACACAAAATAAAAGCTGAACCCCCCTTGGAGTTGCTGTTAAAATGTGACCAAACATATGGTGCTAAGAACAGGGAGTTGCTGAAGTTGGATGTCCTCATTGCATCGTTGGGCGGGCTGGGTTTTGGGAGCTGCTGCTGTGAGAAAGGTGTTCCATGTGCTCCAGAAAATCTGCGGGAGGCAGGGCTGGCTCTCTAGCCATTGTATGATGGAGGAGTTTTGCTGCGTTTCTAGATATTGGAATTCTTTATAATAGTTTTTCTCTTCCTGGGGCAAAAGCTGCCCTTTTTTTAGTGTGCACACCTGCCTCCTTGAAGCACAGGAGGTTGGGGGTGCCCAGTGCCGCTCGGTCAGAGAGCGGTTGCTTGTTTAAGCATGTGTGATGGTGGGTCTGTTCTCTCATTTATGGGAAGCTATAATTAGACTTTTGGTGTTTGCTTTTAGGCAAATTAAGATTTGAAGTAGTAATTATTTTTCTCAGTGTCTTTAAATAAATTCTTTGAATTGCGAGGCAAATTGGTCTTTTGTAAAGATTCGGTGCTTCTGGGTAGAGCAAGTTCTTTCTCCTCAAAACTGGAAAATTTCTGATATTTGCAGGCTCTAGTTATAAAGCGTATCCTCCCATTTTTGCTTTGTTGTGGTTTTATTCATTTTAACGTAAAGCCGTAACTAAAATATATCTGTGACGTTTCATCCTGACAGGATAAATGGAAATACAAAACCTAAAGAAGTCTCCCTCTTTTTCCGGAGGAAGTCAGTGCTTTAAAGCACATTTGAATGTTTTTACTGTAATTGCACTTTGGATATGTGGAAATACTGAGATCCCACATTTCCATTATTTTTGAGTAAATCTCCTATTAGTAAGTGTTAGAACTACAACTAGTGGGGTTTTGCATCTAATTCACTTTGCAAATGTCAAAATAGAACATAAATTGCTTAGCAAATTGCCGTATTAGCATTTAAAAAGGCTCTGAAATGGTTTAATTTGTTTAGGGCTGCAATGTCTTAAAAACAGTTTCTCCCTGACCCCTCCTTTCCATCTGTGGGTTTCTTGGATGCCCTGGTCCCCTGAGAGGCGCTGGGATTTCATGCTGTGTTGGGATGGATATGTGGCGAGTGGATACTGGAGTGTGAGATGCAGAATTCCCAGCTGGAGGTGCCGGCTTTTCCCACCCAGTAGCAAGGATGGGCGTGTGCGAGGAGTGTGAGCTGAGTGTAACGGAGTGTGTCTGTGCAGATGGAGAGGGCTTGTTCCTTCCAAGGGCTGTGGGAGCCCCGGCCCTGCCGGCATGCTCCGGGAGCATGGCTCGCCTTCCCTGCACACTCAGTGCTCACTCATGAAGTGCTCCAGAGGTCTCTTTGCACACACTGGTCAGGGGCTAATGCAACACTCTGGATTTGTAATAATTGTAAATTTTGACCGGTGCAATCAACATCAAGTTTAGTAAAATGCACCATGCTGAGAAATTATCAGATGTGGAGCACAAAATACTATCGGCTCCAGACTGCTCAGCTTAAAGCGGGTCAGGTCTCCTGGAAGGCATGAGCAGAACTGTGCTTTGCTCTCCCCACCGTAATGCCAGGTGGATTTAAACTCCAGATTTACTTGTCTCTGGTGCACCTACTCAACTGGAACGTGCACTAAGTGCATTTTGTTTGTCGCTGGTTTCTTTGCCAGAGGCAGCATTTGTCTGGCACGTTCCCTGTCCCCAGAGGGGAAATTGCTGTGCCAGGGAGGGAGAAGAAAACAAAATGTACAGTAGTAACTCGCCAAAAAATGTTTCTTTTTATTAAGCTTCATGGATGTTGATAGTCTGAACTGGTGAACACACAGGACCCCATTTTAATTTAAGCACGTGGAAGGTCTTGTGTTGCAGGGCACTGATCATGTGCACTGGTTTTCTTGCACATGTCAGAGTTTGCAGGATCTGGCCTGATGGCTGTGATGGTCTGGGCACTGAAATAAATCAGCACACACTTACTGAATGCTTGGGAGGTGTTTGGTATTGTGGAAACGCTGCATATTACTGCTGTTCTTTGGGATGGGAGCTACCTTCATACACGGGGCTGTCGTATGCTTTCCATTAAAGGATGTGTTTTGGTTTTTTTTTTTTCCCTGGTCCCTCCTGGCTGTAACATCATAGCGTGACTTTGTCCAAGGACAAAAGATCCCCACGAGCCCTGAGTGCACTGCAGTCTGCCTTCACTTCAACGGCTGTAACATCATAGCGTGACTTTGTCCAAGGACAAAAGATCCCCACGAGCCCTGAGTGCACTGCAGTCTGCCTTCACTTCAACCTCTTTCTTAATTTTTAAAGAAATAAAAAAAAAAAAACGAACCTAAAGCGAAGTGCTGATTTAGTAGGACATGTAAAGGAATCTATGGCTGGTAATCAGAACAGTCCAAAAATGCTTCAAATCCTGCTTGGGTGGGGGAAGACCAGCCTGTCATTAGCAACGAGCTGGGGGAAGGGCAAAGCAAAGCCAAGCCTGCTGCTGTCTGGATGCACCTCAATGCAGTCGTGCCGTGATGCACAGGCTGTGCTACAACCAGTGCAATCCCAGGCTGCTTCAAGGGAGGCTGTGCGGCTGTATTTTGGTGGCAGCTGGTAGGAAGAGGTTGGGTTATAAAATGGGAGCCTGCAACTTCTGAATGCATCTTTATCTAGGGAAACGTCGGTCTCTGAAACTGGCTGCAGTAAAGGCATGTTTTGTGCTTGGGCGGCCTTGCTGTTGCAATCGCATCTCTTAAAGCTCTTCTAGCCCATCAGAGAGCAAGCCTTTCGGTTCATGCATGAGATGGTGCGTGCAGGATTCTGCCTGAAGGAGGGAGCAGGTTTTGAAGGAAATCTGTCAATTTTTTTTGAGTGAGAAGATGTATTTTTCAGCTCCTGAGAGTGCTGTTGAGTTGTTTTCCGAGCTGCACTCCATTCTGCAGGCACTGTATATTTTAAGCATAGTGAAAGTGTTGGATTGAGTCTAAGTAAATAAAGTGTTTTCCAAAGTAACTAACTGCTTTGTTTCTGAATAGCCAGTATCGGTTCTGGTTTGCTCTGAGTGAGGAATATTTCAGGAAGAAATTTTCTGCTGAAATAGCAGTTACAATTGTAGGAAACCTGTTTCCCATGCATGACTGACTTAGTGATGCAGTGGAGTGGTGATGTGAGCAGAAGGGGGATGTATGCATGTGAAAGATCCTCCATAATACCACCGAGCAAGTAACATTATCCTCCACAGAGCTTTCCACCTGCAGCTCAGGGTGAACAACATGTAGCTCTTTTGCTCTTGGGTAGGTCTCCTGTGGTATTGCAGGTATCTGTGTGTCAGAAGGCAGTGAGATGTGCTATTTGGCTAGTAAAAGAGTGTATTAAAGAAGATGTGTTCTTTATCCTGCCTTGCTGCTAAGCCTATCTGATATAAAAATGAGCATGCTTTAGAAATCTGTCCTTTTCCTCTCTCCTGGAACATGCGTTCTGCGGCTGTAGAGCGTGTTGTTTGATGAAGGCAAATAAAATGTCCCATTGCAGTTAATATACCCAGGGAGTTGGAGTTTAGATTGCCGTAGAAACCCTCGCTGAAGTTCCTGACTTGGGTTACTTTTTTCATTTAGTGTTGCCTGCTCCCCATTTGGTGACACCTTTTCAGGAAAGCTAGAGTTTAGATGTTTTGCTCTGCATTCCTCCTGGGGAGGCGGGACCCTTGGACATCTCTCTCAGCATGCTGGATATATGTTGAGTGTTTACATACACCTTCAGCTGTGACTTGACATTATTCTTTTTCTTCTGCTGTAGAGATGACTGAAGAGGAGCAGTTTGCACTGGCCCTGAAAATGAGTGAGCAAGAAGCCAGACAAGTGAACTGTCAGGAAGAGGAAGAGGAGGAGCTCTTGAGGAAGGCCATTGCTGAGAGCCTTAATGTAAGTGCGCTTCTGTGAAGAGGCTTACTAGGGTTCTTCAGCAACATTGCTTTCTGCGCTTCCTTTGCCACACTGCGAGGGGGGCCTAGCTATTTCCAGCACAAGCTGGAAATACAGCAGTTGCAGAGTAGTTGTTTTGTACCATTCCTAGTGAGAGGCATAGGAAGTCTAACCTCAGCTGTCCCTTGTTTTGGGGTACACAGTTCTGATCTGGGGGGGTTGTGTTCTGCAGTTTGGGTGATGGCTGCCTGTTTGCTGGGGGAGGCCTTGCTCTGCTGATAGAGAATGTGCCTCTCGGAGAATCAACCTTTTGTTTTCCAGAGCTGTCAGCCCTCAGACTCCTCTGATGCAACCCCTCACTTGCCTACAGAAGCACTGGGCATGCGAGGCCAAAGCCAGCCCGCTGAGAAAGAAGGCTCTGAGATCCTGGGAGGTCTGGCACTTTGCCCTGACACCCCTCGCTCCGAGTGCAGCTCCCACTCACAGAGCGCCAGAGCTGATGGGAACGGACAGATGGATGTCACCCGGAGCCCCCTGGTAGTGTTGAGGAGGTTAAGCCAGGAAATCGTTGAAAGCTCACTAGTATCCAGCATAATCGTGTCTCCGGGGAAGGGCCAGCCTGTGACAAGGTCAAGTGAAAAGCCTTCCTCACCAGTAAAAAGTGATTCTAGTAATGTGGTACCCAGCACTTTTGGAGACAACCTCATCTCTTTGAGTCCCACCTTTGGTAGGGTGACTTCAGGCTCCTGGCGACTGACACCTCGGAGACTGTTCACAAGCCCCTCCAGCTCTTGCGATGCAACAGGCCATGAACCAAAAGAGCAGCCCCTGCCCTGCACTGGCCATTCTGCGCAAGAAGCTAGTGCCGGGAGCTCAGCCATGCTGTGGAAGAGTTGGACCATGGAGCGGTGTAGCAGCCCCAGGAGGAGTGGTGGAGGAGCAGGTACCACACACACCTCGCAGCCCGGGCACGCTGCCAAAGTCCATGTTTCCACAGAGCGAGCAGAGCAGAACGAGGTGTCTGACAGTACCCCTGAGCTTCACATGCTGAATGCAGCGGAGGAGAAGCAAAAGCAGGAGGAGGCGAGAGACACAGTGCACTATTACTGGGGCATCCCCTTCTGCCCCAAAGGGGTGGACCCCAACCAGTACACCAAAGTCATCTTGTGTCAGCTGGAGGTTTACCAGAAGAGCCTGAAGCAGGCTCAGAGGCAGCTGTTGCATAAGAAGGAGTTTGGTAACCCAGTTGTGCCCAGTTCTTCCTTGAGCCAAAATGAGCTTGGGAAAGGAGAGCAGATAAGCAGGGAGAATGGAGTTGCTGATGATACAGAAGATGGAGACCCAGATGGGCAGAAAGAATCTGAGAGCATCACCTGGCTCCTCCCTTCAAAGAGGAGGGAGGCAGAGAGTCCAGGGCATAGCATAGAAGAAGAGAAGAATTCCACTTCTGATGATGAACCGACCACCAGCTACTGCCAGGTAAGACCTTTGCCACTGAGCAGAGGTTGAACAGTCCCGCTCTTCTGTCTGTTTTAGGGTTCAGTCCCTTCTGCAAGGCAGGCACTGCTATTTAATGCTTCTCTTCAATTTAGGGACTTCCTCCCCCAGCCACACAGCTTACTGTGAAAGGGAGAGGATAAGCATACAGGCTGACACGCAGCTCACAAATGGTAGGGGCCATCATGCAGCCTGGCAGTCGTCCATTAATGCACCACTGAGATAAAGACTTGCAGCTGACTTGTCCTTCTCAGAAGGGTGTAGCCTGGCAGTGTGTTAGGGTAGCGAGCGCAGACATAATGCTGACCACCGTCAGCTCTGGCAAACCAGCTTAGAAACCCAGAGCCGTGTGGGGAGCTCTGCATTTTCCTTTGCAGACAGAAATGTCCTTGCAGCTCAGCCTTTCCTTTTTGCACCTACATGCTCATCTGCGTCCGTACGTGCTTCACCCTTGCAAGTGCTCTTTTCCCTTGTGGTCCTGTGGTTGTGGCCGGGAGAGGCTCTGTGTGCTCTCAGGCATCTTCTGCCTTCCCCGGGGTGATCTGTCATCACGGCAGTGCTCATCGTCCTTGTTCTGGTGGTTGGGCACCTTCTCTCCGGCTTGCTTGTTGGGTCTGCTAGACGCTAGGTGTCAGCCTCTGTCTCTGTCAGGGCCCTCTTGTTGGAGCGGAAGGCAGCTTTCTGTCACTGCTAAGTTTAAACAGATTGCTAGTCAGATGAAGTATTTATTACTGCTGTATTTTAGGTTTGTGTCAGCCTTTTCCAACCCTCATTTTTCATAATGACTTCACTCCCGGATCATTGTATAACTTTATCTTCTCTATGACTGAAGCCTCAGCTCTGTTGTTCCTGTTTTCAAGTGTATTTGATCATTTACCCTGGTGTTAGAAAGATACTTAACTTGTTTTGTGATATTTATATTCTGTCTTGTAATATTGAGCACTTAGGAAAAACGTCATGTCTGCATTTTCTGGTTGCAGAAAAAGTGCAGAGCAGCCTGTGCTGAAATGTGACTTTTCATGACAGTGCTTTGGCTTGGGTTTAGCAGATACAGATTTAAACAAGCCTTAGAGGTGACCTGCAGAAGAAAGAAACTGACTTGTACCCTTTTTCATTTCTTTAGGATAGATACAAAAGACCTGAAAGGTTCTTAAGGCGAACTGCTTTTTTTCTTCTGTGTCTCTTCCTTTGGAAATGGAGATGTCACTAATCTGGAAGATTGGGGTGGCTGCAGGTCTATGGAGGTGTATGCTAAAGCCCTTGGAAAGCTACAGCAGCTGGGAAGGGCGTGAACTTTTAATCACTATTAAAAATTGTGGGGTGTTTTTTTATATATATTATCCTTTTAATGCTAATACCTAATTAATTTGGGGGGAGAAAAGAGGTTTTCGTGGTGCTGAATGGGAACTTGTAATGTACTCATTCTGACCACAAGAGCACTCTCAAAAAGCCATAAAGTGTATGTAGATGTAGTCTTTCTGATATTTTTAAGGTGAATAAATAAGGAAGGGAGCAGACTTTAGAATTTCAACCCTAGCCCAGAATTTGTCAGTCTTTTATTTGCTTGAGAGAAAATAATTTCTAAATGCCCTTTCATCTGCCTTATCACTCCCAGCTTGAGAGGTTGCTTCCTTCTCTTGCCTCTCTGTGCAGTCGCACGCTGAGACCGGCGCAGGTGATTTACTTGCAAGATCGATATGTTTGATGTTTGCTTGTGCCTTGTCTCCATTTTTTTCTTTCTATCAAATATAATTCCACTGGCAGTGACAAAGGAGGGGCCCAGAGCAGTCGTGTCCCTGGTGTGCTGCCTCACTCAGAGACCCCTGCTGCCTGTACTGCCCTGGGGCTCCCCAGTGCCACCAGTGCTGCTTTGCTGGTGGGATCGGTGGAAGATTTTAGGCTGTGCTGAGTCTAGAAAACATCCATGGAGTCTCAAAGCTGCCCTTGAAAAAGCCTTATGCTATGTGTTGTACCAGTGAAATGAAGGCTCAGATGCTGTGCTCAAGGGAGCCTACCTGTACCCCTGCTTTGAAACCCTCACCTGGAGCTGGCAGAGACCTTTGTGGCAGTGGCCAACTGCTGCGACTGCCACCCGCAGCCAAGGGATGTTGGCACAGAGCAAATCCCAGTTGTCAGGAGATCTCATAGCCTGTGAACCTGCACTGACAAACTTCAGTGCTAATAGAGTCAATTCCTTCAAATTGCAAATAAGGTTAGGGGACTCTTGGTCTTTAAAAGATTGAGAAGCGAAAGACCCAGTTCTGGAGAGTTAGTCTGATGACCTGAGTTAATACCATACCTTATAACATATGTACTAGGAAAACCAGAAACATGGCCCAATATTTGTGACCAGGGCAGAGACATTGTTAAGATATGCGCAGTTCAGGAAAAAGAGAAATAAAACTAAAGGAGGGTGTGGTATTTTATGTTAATGATGAGTTAGGCTGTGAAGAAATGAAGAATAGTGTAGATAAAACAGAGTATTTGGGGGCTGGAGTCACTTTAGGGAAATCTGGCAGGAGGCTTTGTTTTGGGGCTTGCTGGGGAAGTACATCAGCCATCCAGGAGTGAAGCTGATCAGAGTTGAAACCTATGGTGGAAATCAAACTCGGAGAGTTTAATAGACTCAAGGAAGGGGGAGGAAAACCCCTTGGATTTCTTTGAGAACTAGCATGAGAAATTGCAGGCCTGACAGCAAGGACTGCTAATAAACCGTTGTAATTCCACCTGATTAGAGAATGGCAAGTGTAACGTGTATGCTGAAGAAGAAGAAAGAGATCTGAGTAACAACTGGCATGTTAGCCTGACCTCGGCAGTGCATAAGGCTTTTGAAAAAATTTTAAAGGAAAGAATAAACGGAGTCGTAGAGCTAAATGAAAAATTGGATAAAATGCACACGGATTTACCAGCTGTAGATTGTGCAGGTTAATCTGTTCCCTCTCTTTGATGGGACAGCTGATTTCTCAGTCAAGAAAAATGCAACAGATCTTATCTGTACAAAATTTCAGAAAAGTACTTCTTGTGGTCAAACATCAGCTGTACCAGTTGATCAGGTCATCCTGGCTCAGGCAAATAGATTTTAAACTGGAGTAGGTCAGAGCTGCTGAGGTGCTTGAGGGAGTGCAAGGAGACACTAAAAACCTTGGGTTGTTTAGTTCAGCACAAATGGAGATGGAGAAGAGCTATGGTTGCTGCCTACAAGTACATCAGGGTAGATGCTAGGAACAGGCAGAGGGTGTGGAAGATGATGGACAAAGTTGGCATGAATGAATGGCCACAGACTGTCCAGGAACATGTCTAGGCAGCAAGGTAGCAAACAGCCAGGTATCATTGCAGGGAGCTGCTGAAACACCTTGCCAAAAGGAGCGATGGAGGCAAAAAGCTGACTAGTTCGGGATGGATACTTAGCCATTTCCAGAAAAAGATAGGTAACAGATTGGGTGCAATGCCATGGACAGAAACTGATGATCCAGCAGATCCCAGTTAGCTGTGTATGTTGTTTTATATATCAGAATTTTCCTTTCCAGGCCTCCCAGGTGCTGCCTGCAGAGGATGTGGCTGAAGACGGAGAACCCATGCAAATTGCACAGAGGTGAGGAGGGTGATATCAGAGCATGGTGTCATGGGCTCTTCCAGTCTCCTTGGAGCATTTTGGGGTGCAGTCTCAGCAGGGCTCGCTGCAGAGCCTGGCAGCAGGGCTTGCTGGAGAGGCTGTCTGCGGTCACTGCTGTTAGGTATCCCCAGAAATAGATGGCTTTGGAGCAGCGTGGGAGAGAGGTGGGATACAACTGGGGAGAAGAGATCAGTTACTCTTGTTACTTTATAAAATGTGCAAGGTGCATCCTAGTACAAGTACAAGGACTTGATCCTTGCCCTCTGGAGCTAATGTGACATGGTGCAGTAAAGCCGTGGAGATGGGTGGGTGAGCTGAAGGTGAGTTATAGCGATGTTATCACGTGGTCTGTCTGGGAAGGCGCACAGGCAGCATGGTGGAGGGTTTACTGGATTTCTGTGTGTATTTTTATGATCTTGCCTTACTGCTGAAGAGGAAAGAAGGGAGGAGGAAGCCAGACGGCACTGCCTATCAGCCAAAGATAGAGTGCAGTGCTCCAGAAAAGCCACTTCAGCAGATGACAGGTGTGGGACAAGTCAACATGATTTTCTTCAGATTTAAGCCTACTCCTCTTTTCCTTTTTTTTTTTTTTTTTTTCTTCTCCTTCCTGTGGGATGCAATTCTGCAGCAAAGGCTCTGGGAGAAGAAGGGCAAATGGGAGAGGATTCAAGGAGCAAGTTACAAGAGAGGGCAGATAATGTCATGTTTTTAATTTGCTGGGTTTTATAATTTAAACCTGCTTTGGAACAATACTGCCAATTTCTCTCTGATCTAACAGCATTTGGCCTGAGCAGTTAATATCAATATGCAGAGTATGAAAATCCCTCTTGCTTGCACCTGTATAACGAGCTTAAAGCTCGCCTTGGGGAGCAGGAGGAGCCTGTGGCTGCTGTTGCTGCCGAGGCTGATGAGCCTGTGACAGCTGAGGTCTGAGCTTGTGTGCTTGCGTGGAAAGCACCGAGGTGTGTGCTCTGCAGCACTGGCCTCCCGCCTGCTTAAGGCAGAAGAGGCCAGGGCTGAATATGAAAAGAGCAGGACCTCTTTCCTTTGGCATAGCTGATGAGGATTAGTTTGGGACGTTCCACAAGCTGCCCAGGAGCTTCTGGCTGTCCCTCTTGGGGCTGGGATGCACCTGGGTGCTGCAGCCCCTCCTTTAGCAGCTGGCACATCTGCAGCAAGGCAAGAAATGGCTGCGGTCTTCGCAGTTTTGTGCACATTAAGTGTTGCCATCTGGCTCCTGGTAATTTGCCAAGCACAGTCCTCTCTTGGGTGAAGCTCAGGCACCCTGGCCAGCAGCCCTCGGCAGCACTTCATAGGATAACACAGCTCTGAGCTGTCTGGAGGTAGCGAAGCAGTTTTGGAAGCAACAGCAGTGAGAAGAGGCTGCTTTACTTTCCGCGGGCCGCTCTACCTGATTGTTTTACGCTTTGTGCAGAGCACGGTAGATTGGGGTTTTAATAAATGATTATAGGCTTTGTTACCAGGAGATAGTTGGTGTAGCAAGAAATGTGGTTTGACTTCAAATTGATTAGCCCATTTTATAAATGTCACAGCAAGTTGTTTTGTGTGAGTTCTTTTGAAGTGAGCCCTGATGTTAGACACAGAGTAAAACACGCACAGCCTGGATTCATAACAAATGCTTTGAGATGCTTTATTTAGAGAGAAAAGCCACTTGTGATTTCCTATCAGAATTTTGTTATTTATCATAAATCAGCAGTGGCTGCTCTCTCCTCTCTAAGGCCTGTGGTTGAGCTTAATAAATCTTCTATTTGTCAGTATGGGGATTCGTGTTTTTAAAGTGTGTTCTTGCATACTTGATCAGACTAATCAGAAAGCCACGCAAAGCACGGAGCGTGTCAGCATGGGTGCCAGACTTACTCAGCAATGCCTGCCTGTTTCGGAAAGACACTGTGCAGTGTGGGGGGAGGAAAAAAAAAAAAAAAGGAGGAATCCGAAGGTCAAAACAAGAGGAGCGGTACCCAGTGCTGCTTGGAGGAACTGCCGTGCTAATGTTGTTAGGACTTCGCTGCAGGGAGGCCTTGCCCTGTCTTGCATCCCTGCCATGCACAGCGATAAGGAAGGAAATTAGCAGTGTGAGGAGGGAGAGGGTAATACGGGATAAAGCAAGCCTGTGTCTCTCCTCTCTGAGGACTTCCTTCCCCAGACAGAAAGAAGCACGGTGCTGGTACCTGCACAACTCCCAAATCTTCCAAGAGTAGAAAGAATCAAGAGAGTCCCACGGCTGTGAGCAGGTGGTTTTGCTCCCCTGACATGAGGCAGTGGTACTTCATGCCTTTTTGTCAAGGGCTTCTAGAAGAAAAAAATGTTCCCTTTGGGGTTTTTTGCTTAGGACACTGTTTTGTACCCGTATTTCCCTGTTATCCTGGTCATTTCTGGCTATCAGATATTGACCACTTGGAAATTACAGCATCGCTGCTGTTCTGAACTGCATAAGACAGGCAGGTGTGTGCTGTCACACCTACTGGATTGGAAATTTATATTATATTTATATTTTGAACAGCATCTCCATGTTGACCCCACTTGGCAGTAAAAGGAGCCCAGATATTGCTACAGAAAACTCTGCTGAAGAAGAGATCTCTGTTTGCCCAGGTAAGAGGCAATTGAGAATGTTCTGAATTTTGCACTGAAAGTTACACACTTATAAAATTCAGAGAAAAGAAGAGAATTTTCGAATTATTTGAACAAAATTAGTTTTTTTTTTTCCCCCTCCAGCTCTCTTTGTCAGGGCTGAAATTATTCAGGTAATTTTGTTTGACTCCCTGTTTTTTGACCCTTTCCTTCTGAGACAGTTCTGTGACCGGTGATTGCTGGGGACTTGCTGCTGAAGAGACACCAGGATGTACGTTGGTGCAAAGGGATCGTTCAAAACAAGGTGTCAGGAGTGGTCTCTTCAAGGCATTCAAGAAATTTTTAGATTTTTTCAGTGTCAAGATATGTGTAAAGCATGAGAGCTGAAATAGTTTTTGCTTTATGTTAATTAAACCTGTTTGGGACCAAGGAGTTTTTCATCCTCGGTCTCTTCTACCACGTTCAAGATTTTCCAGTTCAGGGGTTTAAGTGAAAAAATTAATGAAGAGACGGCTCCTGTTCACAAGCAGCTGTAGAGAGAGAGGTCATGATGGTGCTTGGAGGCATATTTTGTTGCTGAGGAAGATGTGGAGGTCTAAAGAAGGTGTGACTGTGAGACAGACCGCAGAACTGGAGCTCTGTTTGTCTCAATGCAAGGGAGAGCTCTATTCTTGCTTTGTCTCTATCCCAGCAAGTGTCCCACGCATTTTCCCTGTGTCTAGTCTCACTCCCCGTGAAGCCGCAAAGCTGCGGTGGCTTTGTCCTCACACCACCATGCTGTGACTTTTAACCCCTCATCCGGCTGTGTTGTTGCACATTGTCTGCTAACGTTTGTGGCAAGTCTAAAAAATGTTTTGAAACTGTGAAAATGCTGTTTGGAAATGGGCTAAGTTACATCAACAAGTGAGGAGATAGTTGGGGGGCTGCAAACCTGTGCTGACACAGAGGTGTTTTTCTGCAGAGACCCAGCCGAGTCCACTGGAAGCTATTGAGGCGGAGAGAGAAGAGCTCTGCTTGGGCAGCAGAGATGAACCTGTGCAGGTAAAAGAGCCTGATGTTGGGGAAGGGTCCTGTTTCCTATCCTGCCTTCTCGATCTTGGTTTAGCTGGGCTGTGCTAGCATTTCCCCTTGAGCAGCTGAGAGGTTAGGCTTCTGCTGTTGGGATCCTCACAAACACTTCCCTCTTCACTTTTCTCCACTACTTCGTAATTCCAGTGCCTTTAGGCTGGGGGCTGTGTGCAGCTGCCTCTGGAGCCTTTCAGTCCCATAGCCGGAGAGTTGTTATCAGTCCCAGCTCTTTCTTTTATACCACACGCGCTGCTGTGCTGGAGGATGCCATCAGTGTGGACAGCAGCGCTGTTGCTCACCCATGCTCAGAGGTGTAGGGCTGTGATGCTCAGCAATGCAGAGGGGCTCCAGGAGCTGAGAGACGAGTCCTAGTAAACCTCAGGCACTCATGTTGTGACGTGCTTTACTCTGTTACCGTCCTCTGAACTTTGGTGTTTGTTCTTCCCAGACCGTCTCAAAGAGGCTGAGAGGGGAGGTTCACCCGGAGAGACTGGGCTGGGATAAAGATGACATTGAAGTGTTGAGGGCTGGTGGTGGTTTGCAGTCCAAGGAGAGTGACCTGTGCTCAGGAATCTTGATTTCTGTGCAGTAATAGTTAATAGCAATAGTAAGTCAGTGGCAGGGCCATCCTCTTACCTCCCGATGCAGATGTGCGCTGTTGTGCGGCTCCTTTCCCCATGTTGTCACACCTGCGCAGCAATTGCTTTGCAGCTGTCACTGTACCGACATCTGACTTCAGTTCCTGCTTCTGATAAAATTCCCTTTGTCTATTAATTTAGAGAGTGATATCAAAGGGGTTGCCAAGTACTCCTCTGGCAGGGTACATGAATACAGAATCGTACAGCTCTTGACAAGAGGATTCATTTGTGGAAAGCTCATTCTGGGAGTCTGCAGCTTGTACAGTGCATCTGCAGCTCCGATGTCTCATTGTCACAGGCCTCTTAATAAACCAGCTTCTGCTCTCGTGTGCCTTTCATTCTGCAGGTAGCTCAAAGCGCTGCTCAGTCAATTAGAGGCTGCAGCAAGGAGAGGCAGTGGTCCTGTGCTGAGATGGGTAGCCACAGCCACTGAAGCACGTTCATGACCCATTTGGCTGTGGCCAGGACACTGCCCTGTCCCTCATGCTCTGCAGAGGGTGCCCCCGGTCTCACACCTCTGCCAAGATGGCACAAGGTAATCAGCACAGTGTTCAGGAGTGGTGCGGCAGGGCTTCCTAGGGATTGCTCAACAACATCATCTCTGGCAGCAGGTACCAGCTGGGAGCCTGCAGCCCTCCAGAAACAGCTACCATGTGCATCAGCGGTTAGCATGAAGCGAGCGTAGACCACTGAGACTGACTTCTTCCTAGCAGATGCTGAGCCAGGACACAGGAGTCTTGTTGTTGAGCTCAGCCTCTAGCATTGCTCTTGGCTGGCTGTTGGCTGCAAGTACTATGTGTTGTAGGCAGTTTCCTCTGCTAAAGAGGAGAGGCAACAGTGTCTGCCTCTGACAAGGGTGGTTGGTTCTGCAGTTGAGGTTTTCCAGGCTGTTTCAGCAAGGTTTTGTACAAGCAGTTTTGGGACCGTGGTGTCTTTTGTTATGGAATGTTGCATTTCCATTTAAAATTAGTAATTTACCATCGAATGTAGGCGGGCAGGGTGTGCGGAATTGGTGATCTCCTAAGATTGCTTTGAAAATGGCAGCTAGAAGGAGCAGTGCCTGCTGCTTTTCCCATCATATTTTTTGTGTGTGTTGTCTGACTATGATAATGCAGGTTTGATATGATCATTCATATTTGACACATCTTGTTTTTTACGACTCCTCTGTGTGACGCCCCACGGTGAGGACTTCGCAAGATGTAGTGACACTGAGATGTGAGAGCAGGGTACGAGTGCTAATGCTGTAAGTGATGTACTTCAACAGCCTGTGTTTGGCTGGAAGAACTCTGTGGCAACTCCTCCACAGAAATCCAGGGCAGAGAGCCTCCCTGGAAATGAGAGGTGTTCCTGGGGCTCAGTGCCTTAGCCTTTCAGCCAGTGTCTGGAAGAAATGTGTTTAGTGAGTCAGATTCTCAGTTTAAGGCCCAGTCTTGCAATTTTTTGCATGGCTCCTCTGAGTCAACAAAGCACCCTCCTTCCCTTTAGGACATAAAAATCAGGATCAGACCCTCATTTGGAAAAGCAAGTAATAAACCGAGTAATATGACAGAGCGCTCCAGTGGCACTGAGCATCTTGGCTGACCTCAATTACTGCTTCCCTGAAATTATACTGTTGGAGGGAAGCCGGCAGCAGTTTTGTTGCATACTGTCTGCATGACACTGCTTAGCCCTAAGAACAGAAGACTCTCCTATATTATTTTCCTATAGGTTTCTTCTACATGGTTAATACTTAAATAACTTTTTTTAATCATTGTGGGGTGGGGGGAAGGTTCTTTCTTAAAAGTGGAGAAATCTTGTAGTAAGCCTATCTAGGCAGAGATCTAGTTATGAGTGAGATGGCAGCAGTCTGCTGCATCTTGGGAACATCAATAGCATAGGGAGAAGGCTGTATCTACACGGGTGGGTAGTGGAGCACCTTTGCAGCTGTGTAACCAATGCAAAAAGAGAATATCGGTAAGTGGTAATGGCGTCCGGAGAACAAACATGGGCTGTGACATTTTGCCCTGGCAAAAAGCCACTGCTAGTAATTCTGTGTGACATGGATTTTTAATGGTATTGCCTCTCTCCTTGATCTGTGTCCCTTCTGATGACTGCTCCAGCCACCTCCTCTGGAGAGGAGGAGCTTCCCAGTGATCTCTCTGGACTCCCTAAAAGCACAGCAGCCTCCTTTCATCCCGGGAGAAGCTGTGTTCCCAGACAGGGCTGCCTGTGTAGCATGGATCATGTCCAGAAACTGATGAGCACTAGTCAGGTGTTGAACTCTTGCTTTGCCCCATGAATTTTCCATCAGTTTTGCTTCTGAGCTTTCCTGATTAATGGAAGCTTTGCCATTTTTCCGCGGTGGTACAGGTGATGTTTGCCTTAAATGGCATGCACGGCTGTGCAGGGAGGTTTCATCAT